AATTAAAAATAGGCAACTGAGGTCACTGAGCTGAGTAGCATCACTCTGACAGCCTCCTTAAAAATAATTAATTAATTCAGAATTAAACAGGTAAACACACATTTCTTGTGTGCAAGTCTTAATATTCAGCAGCACATCCTTCCTCCCTCCTCAGCTTGTCTTCCTCCAAAATTCAGGCTCTGGTTCTTTATTCCTAATTTTCTTAAATGTAAATTGAAAGTATAAATATTATGTTCAAAAGCAAGGGAACAATGGTGCTGAGGGACAAAGAGACGTGCTCACTCATTCACTCAGTAGCTGTGAGAAGAATGTGGAATGTGATTTGCATGGGAAGAATGGCACCAAACATCAAAAGTTATTCCAAACAAAACCACTGATTCATTCCCAGGGAGAGGCAACGATCTTGTATATTCAAGCACATCAGGCAGAGTGGATTATAATACATAAACACTATTGTATTTTAAGATAAAAGCATGGAGTTCCCCAAACATACTAGAAAATTAGCATTTGAGTTCTGAAGACCAGAGGAAGCTGAATACATTTCTGGGGAGAAAAAAACCACCTGGTTCACCAAATTATAAACAGCTCCCTCTCATTTAGATACCTGGAGATGACAGCTAGATTTTGTAACACAATGAAACTGTCCTCCCTACAGCTCTGGCTCCATTTTGAGAAATTTCTTCCAAAACACACAGGACAAGAAGAAGATGAGGGAATTCTGTGTATTTATTACTGGTGCAGATAGGATTTACATCTGATATCCCAGAATAATGACATCTACACTAGCAGCTAAGATATTCTGGTTTCAGAACTGAGCAACTTTTAAAATCCCCTTTTAAGCTTTGCAGTCACAGAAGACTCTTAATAATTGATTATAATTGATTTTAACCTTGTCCTAACCTGGGCAAAATGGCAAAGCCAATCATCTTTGTCCAGATGGGATACGAGAAAAGAGCCCCCAATACACAGCTTTAAAAGCTCCAGACATGAGCAGAAGATAAAATATTTAGTCTGCAGAAGCCTTGACCTCCCAATTCCAGCCAGTTTTGAACTTGAATTGATTTCCGACACGGCATCTGGGAGATGATTACAACAAAATGCACTAAAGCTGGGCAGCCTTTATTTTAACATCCCAGCAGCTTAACCTGTTAATAACAGCAATTGTTTTGGATACAACACCAATTTCGGTAACAGACACTGGGAATGGTGGCGGTGTGAGAGCACAGCCACTCGGATCCCTCCCCTCAAGGTGCTGCCAGTGCTTCCATCACCAGCCCCTGTTTCCAGGGCTTTACAACTTGGCTGGGAAAACGCCAGCCAGGGCTGAGAGGCTGGAGATGGGCAAAATGCCCACTGAAGCCAAGGGGGGGCTTTCCCTGAGATAAACACAGTCAGAGCTTGGGCATCAGTCAAAGGGTTTGTTATGAAATAAGAGATGAAAATATCAGAGCTGCATATTTGTTGTGGTCTTTGAGTACGACTTTACTCAAAGGATGAAAAAGGCTTTGCGAGTAAAATCATAAAATCACAGAGTCACAGAATGGTTTGGGTTGGATGTGACCCCAAAGCCCACCCAGTGCCACCCCCTGCTATGGGCAGGGACACCTTCCACTAGCCCAGGTTGCTCCAAGTCCCGTCCAACGTGGCCTTGGACACTTCCAGGGATCCAGGGGCAGCCACAGCTTCTCTGGGCAACCCGTGCCAGGGCCTCCCCACCCTCACAGGGAGGAATTTCTTCCCAATATTCAATCTAAGCCTACTCTCAGTTTGAAACCATTCCTCCTTGTCCACTTCTACACAGCCCTGAAGTTATTCTAATACTTTAAAAGAAAAAGTCAGATTTGTGGATTACTTATGGATAGAGGTTTGCTGACCTTATTTATTCAAGCAAGTCAATCGAATTAATTTCATGAATGAATTAAATAGGAGATGGCTTTACATTGCCATAATGTTAAAACCAGACATCATCGAGACAAAAATCACACTTCTATCTAAAGAAAAAGACTCAGAATTATATAATTTCTCCTGTGTTTTCACTTATTTCCCTTGCATCATCAGTATCTCCTTTTGTAAATATTTTATCTACTAATATACTTATTTTTCTTAAACTCGCAGTAAACTTTGAAGCAAAGAATGTAATTTGCAGACTATATTTCAAATGCTATAAAGGAAGGTATGACCATCTGATCATGGAACACAAAAAAGAAATACTTATAAACTTTAAAAAATGAAATTGTGAGACCACAAATTAAACTGGCAGAAATAGGAGGCAGATGGAATGGCTTGTACCTACTCTTGTTTCTTCCCACACCACTTGCCTTGTATCAGTAGTCAGCACCTTCCACTCGTGTATTTTTCTTTAGTACTTTACTATTTATGTTTTATATTAATAGAAAAGAATTGGGAAAAGCCCCACTTTTACAAAGATGCTGTTGTTTGAAGCATTTGCATGGTAAATACACCCATCAGTGCTGGGTGTATCCTGTGAGAGCCCAGAAGCCAAACCAAACTCTATTATTATTTTATAAACACTGTCCAATCCAATCACAATCAATAAAGTGGTGGCACAAACTGTGCTGTTTAGTTGGGTGGATTTTTTTTGCAGCAGGAATCACTACTGAAATATCCTCTGTTTTAATATGCAGATGTTTCTTTAAGCACAGACATTTTAAGCCCAGCTATCGTATTCCACGCGGTGTCTGAATTCCTGAGCATGTTTTTTGACTTCACCCCTTTCCCATAAGGGTTTGAGGATAAACAAGTGTGTAAATGCAAAACAATCCCGCATTTATTACTAAAACAATATTGAGATTTTCACGAGTAACCCTTAGACAATTACAGCTGTTGGTACCATACTTTCACCATGGAAACTTTTGTTTTACTTAACAATTGAAATTACAATCAGATGTGCTCATCCCTCGTTGAAGTAATGAACAATGGTACATCTGAGGGAGAAATTCAAAGTGCATCATTTATCTTATCCTATTTTCAATTAGGCCGAGCGCGGTGTAAGATGGTTCCAAACTACACCACAGTAACAGGGTAAGTGAATTTATTACCACTCCAGTGCTAATCTTAGCAGATGGTAAAAAAAAAAAATATTTTTAGCATGAAATATGCTAAAGCAATAAATCTGAACAAGGTGGATGTTATCAACTAATATCTCCCCAGTGTGAGGTAAAACTCCTGCATGACAACTCAGCATTCCTATAAACTCGGGGTGAATTCTGGAAGATATAAGTCTCTCTATAGGATGAAAAATAACAGAAATTAGTAAAAAAGGCATTCCACATGCAGTTTAATACAGCATACCTAGGAAAGGAAAGAGAGTTGCAGGATTTTGCTTAGCAAGATTTTTTTTTCCCCTAGACAACTCATTTTTTTCTCAGAGGAAATTTTTCGTTGACTCTGGGAAAGATATAAATCCAGTAATTCTCTCCTGCTTTGGAAAAAAAAACCCCTACTATCTAGTTTTTTAAACAGCAAATAAAAAGAGAAATATTAAAATAATCTTCAGAAGAAAATAGGTAAAATTTAGGGGGAAAGGATACAAAGAAACCCCTTCACTTACCAATCTGTAAGTGTAACAAAAATATAATAACAAGCAAGAGCTGAATGGAAAATTGTTTCCATTGTTATCAACAGAACATTACAAAACACTTGCAATTCAGAACTTAGAGTCCTGTACCTGTGCAGCAGTGAACACACTGAAAATACAGAGAGTAAAAAAGCACTCAGGAAACTTTGGAGACTTTTTTCCAACAAATTATAATCAAAACAGTTCATTAAATTATAACAATATTAAAATTAGTAAGTATTTGCCACAGCTTTAAAACTCATACTGCTGCTTGTCTTTGTGATAGATCATGAAAATAAATGATAGGTTCCAAACTATAAATAAATAGGAAAAGTGGTCTTTTTTGAGGACGAGAAATCAGGACTTTGGCCAAAGCCTCTGCCTGAAACCACGAATAACAAAAGGAAATAAAACTTAAAACTGCTTGAAGAACATGTTAATGTATTTGAATGTGCATCTCAGTTTTCTTAAAAGTATTACTTGCTGAGCAAATGAGAAAAGGAGATTGGAAATGGACTTGTGAGGCTCTGGGTAGGGAATGGGCACCAGTAGGGAAATAAAGGGAATGTGAAGATGGGCTGGGAGAAAGTGAACTCCAAAGATCCCGTATTCCAGTGATTTGCTGAATTACTAATTTTTATTCATGTACATAACTTGGGGGGGGGGAATTGTTCCCCCTCCCCTTAGGAATCCTGGAAATTATTTTTTTTTTTTTGCTTTATTCCACCTTTTCCAAGCATCAGGTAAAAAGTATTTAAAAAACAAACTAATTGATCATAAACTACCAAGCAGGCCATGTGTGGTTCCCAAGTATCTCATCAGATTTCACAGCTGGGTAACCAAGTGTGACTGATGACCAGTTTGTTGGCCTCAATTAGACCAAAGAACAACAGGAATGGAAGAACCTCACATACTGAAAAAAAGGCAAAATGTATATATTGCAGGCTGGAGAATTACCCAGAACTATTCCACTCCCAAACCTTTCCAAGGGAAGACTGTCCAAATTGAAATTAGTACAACATATTACCCAAAGCCTTGCTGTAATCTTCATTCTCAGATCACCTGCCTGTGTGGCTCAACTTTTTCTACTAAAATACATCAGAGCAGAAGTAAAAATGAGAAATGTGTATTTGTCCCAACAAAAGCTCAGGGCTGTAGATTTTACTCAACAGAGAGACTGGCAAAAGGAGACTTCCCTGAATGAAGGCTACAAGGCCCACAGAATTTAAATAACTTCCTTATCTACTAAAATATAAAAACTTATAATAAAATTGTGGCTGTAAAAAATCATAGAATTAATCTATATTGTGTCTTTACAGTTTTGCTTCAATAATAGAAGTAAAATAGATTAAGGTTTTAAAAGCAGTAATTTTGTTGCTCTAAGATTTGAGTATTACATTTTTATGCCTCGATTAAGAATTACCTTAATTTGCTCCTTGGTTCAGGTGTGCTCCAGACTCACAGGCTGACCACACAAAGGCAGAATTAATTCAGAGGGTTTTTTAATAAACTTCAGAAACTTCTTTTTCCAACCTTAGAGATTAACGAGGAGTCCACGAAGTGGAGATGAGGATTCAGGCTGTGCCAGCACCTGAGGCTGAGGTGGCATATGCTGGAGGGGGCTCCCTGTGTGCCAGGCAGGCACGGGAGAGCAGCTTTCAAACTGAGAGAAGCTCAGATCAAGAGTCTCTGGTGTGCCAACATCAAGTCCAGCAGTTCCACCTGTACAGAACAGAGATTTTAGATGCTGCACACCCAGAAGAAACCTCCCAGTGGGCAAAAAGAAGAAGGAAAAGATTATGCACAATAAGGGAGCAGAGGAAAATCACAGACATAATTCAGGCTGGGGTTACCTTTGCATCAGAAACTATGAAGGAGATGCCCTGGGACCAGAGTGATGGATGGCATGTGGGGAGGAAATACAGACAGCTCCGGGAGCTGGAGACATGAGGAAAGGGATCCGCCAAACCTGGCTGCACAGGGAGAAGCTGCTGTTTTGTGTTTTTTTTTTTTTTTAACAAAACACCCAAAATTTGTGAGTTTGGGGGGAAATCCCAAATTCTGCCCACCCAGCAGGGACTGGGTGGCAGAGGGGGTTCATCCCACCCTAGGGCCCGTCCCCAAACTCTCCCGACACCCCCTTTATTTCCCCTAACCTGGGGTTTTTTTGGGTCCTCCTTAACTGTGGAGTGTCCCCTGAATTTAAGGGGGTTCATGAATTTGGGGGAGCTCACGCTCTCAAACTCCCCTTTACACCCCACAACCTCCCCTCAAAATACCTTTTAACTCTCCCCATCCCCCTAAAAAGCCCTTCACGTCTCCGCAAAGTCCCTCGCTCCATGGTTTCCGCAGAAACAAAATGGCAGCCGTTCCACAAAATGGCGGCTGTTCCCCCACTCCACACCCCATGGTTTCCCCAGACAAACAAAATGGTGGATGTTTCCCCACTCCAAGCCCTGTAGTTTTCCCAGACACAAAATGGCAGCCGTTCCCCAGCTGCGCTCCCCTTGGTTTTCCCCAATACGAAATGGTGGCTGATCCCCCACTCCACACCCTGTGGTTTCCCCAACACAAAATGGCAGCCGCTTCACCAGCTCCATACCCTGTGGTTTCCCCAGGCAAACAAAAAAAGGCAGCGATTCCCCCACTCAATTCCCCATGGTTTCCTCTGACACAAAATGGCCGCCATTCCCCCCCTCAATTCCCCCTGACTTCCTCTGACACAAAATGATAGCCGCTCTCCAGCTCCATGCCCCGTGGTTTCCCCAGACAAACAAAAAATGGCTGCCACCCCCCACTCAATTCCCCTTGGTTTCCCCTGACGCAAAATGGTGGCCGTTCCACAAAATGGCGGCCATGCCACAAAATGGTAGCTGTTCCTCCGCTCCACTCCTCTTGGTTTCCCTAGACACAAAATGGCGGCCATGCCACAAAATGGCGGCCGTTCCCCTGCTCCACGCCCCAAGGTTGCCTCAGACAAAAAATGTCATCACGGACACTGACAGCAGGGCCTCTGAGCAGCAATTACCACCAGGAAAGGCTGTTGTTTGTGCCCCAAACGCAAACATTCCAAGGCTGGAGCCTGCTCTGAGCGGCACAGACTATCTCTGGCCCGTAACGTTATCAAGAGATGTGTGTTCTCAAAGCTGACTCTGCCACTCAACCTCTGTTTTACAGAATCACAAGATCACAGAATATGATGAGGTGGAAGGGACCCACAAAGATCATTGAATCCAACTCCCACTCAACACACACCTGAGGTGGCTGAACAGGACCTACTCCGGGGAGATGGGCAGTCCAGGAGCATTCTGGACACAAAAAATAATAAGTAAAGTAACAGCAAAAACAAACAGCTCAGAAAAGCAAAGCAGGGCACCTCTATATAATTTCTGAAAAGGATTTATAGCCTGTATAAACATGGATCATAAACCCATTGGCAAATAGATACAAGTTATTTCTAAAAGCTGCTTAGTTTAGATGTCAGAACTTAGAGTTCTGAATGGATGCAGTGAGGCAAAGAAACCCACTCCTGCTCCTCAGGACACCTAATGCTGTGCCTTGGGAATGTACTTGCTGTTCTTAGCAGAGACTTGATTTTTGATCCTTTCCAAAGCTTGGATTCCTATTCAAGGACAGGGCACTCCAGTAATCTTGTGAATGCACTTTGAGCTAAATGTCCAGATGAAAGATTTTAATGAAAAAAGCAGCTTAGAGCATCTGGCCACTTGGTTTCCATCCAGCACAGTATTGAAGGACTTAAATGGAGATATATTCTGAGGGGTCACCACCCAAAGTGTAATATGCATGGCAGGGAAGCTTTCCATCACTTGTCATGGGGAGTCAAGTTGCTATAAATCTTAAGAACAAGATGGTTTTCCCTTCACTATGTTTTTATGAGAAACAGGTTACTGATAATAACTGCTCTGACACTTCGACCTACTTCCTAGTGAATTTTGCATTAGTATGTTACTGTTCATGCTCTGTGGGGATAGAATTTCCCTCTCAGAACTGCCTGATGGATCTGAGCTTCACTGTGCTTTTCTGCTAAAGCAGAGATCTCACACTGCTGTCAATGGGAGCTCAACAGGCTGTGTTAGCACAGGGGCTGTGATCCTAAATTGTCCCTAACATACTCAGCTTCTGGGTGGCTCCAGATTTCACTTTTGGTATTCCTTGGATAATTTTTCCTGTTGGGGAAGCTCTTCCAACACAAATCTGCTAAGGCACAATGCTATCACAGATCTCTGTGGTCACTCAAGAGACCACGAGCAGGTGCAAAATCAAACCAAGACTGTCATTTCACAGTTCACAGGGTCAGTTTTCTCTGTTCCAAAGAAAGGACTCAGCTGCATTTTGCAGCTCAAAATCCAGCCAGCAGGAGATGATCAGGAGTTCAGAAGCGTTCCCTTTTTTTGCGGGGGGTACATCCCTGCTGTCCAGAGGCACAAGTCCCATTCAATGAGATCAACAGATACCCATTTGGGAAATAAGGAGATAAATGGACGTGGTACTAGAGACTCATCCTGGTAGCAAGAGTTCCTCCTCAGAGCAAAGCAGTGGGAAGTTCTATGCAGGGAGAACATCTGTGTTTGTGTTTCTATAAGTCTGAGGAGTTTAAAGCACCAACTATAGAGAAATAGTCAATAACAAGAAAACACAAGTATGGTTGTTTAATGAAATTTTGAAAAATATTTCACCTGTTTCAGAGTAGAAAATGCTGAGGGAAACCATGTCATCACTATTACTTGTGTTATTTAACCAATCCATTCTTTCTAATAAAGAACCAGGAGAAATAAAACCCCATTGATCTTTATTTATTGACTTCCTAGTGAGTATAGTTAAAGCTGACACAAATCAATCACAATAAAGTTAAAAGGATAATATAGCATAATATGACCCGAGATTGTACCGCCAGTTTAATTACTGAAACTCAAAGTTTTAGCATACGTGGAACAGTGAAGAGAAACGTCCAGTTAATTGTGTTCAGATGCACACTGTAAAAGGATAGGGAAATTCTTGGTGCTCGTAACATTTTTAAATGTTTTCTCAGCCAAAGCAGGTAGAAAATATAGAAATGTGAGGGGAAATAGGTCTCTTTCTAAGGGAATAAATGGCTCTTTGATTTCCTTTTCTCTTCATTCATTGCCATTAATTTAAAGCTTTCCAGGCATTCTGCAGGCAGTAAAATGGGCCAAAATATTCTTTGCTGTCAAAAGTAAATCTGGTTATAGTTTTGCTTTTCAAAGATGGTTGGCAAAAGGCAATGCCAATAGAGAGCACTGCTGCCTTATGCTCTTTAAATATGGAAAATAAGAAGAAACAAGAAATCTTCTGAGACAAGAACAGGAATATTAAAATCACAACTGACAAGACAAACCTAATTTTCCTCACCATCCCTCTGTTATGTGCAATCTACTGCCACTACCTCAGTGTTAACTTTTTAAGAGTGTGTGTCCTCTCAGAGAAGAAAAGCAGGAAAGCATAGTGTGGGTTTCAGACTGGAGGAAAGGATGCTCTTCTAGTTCATTAAGTGATGACAAAGGTCTTTTGAGATCTTTCAGAACCTTTTTGTAAACTAATTCACCCTGGAAGAGACTCGGTGTGCATGGACAAAGCTCCAGGTCTGTCTCTCCCTGCCCTATTTCCTTGGCTGTGGCCCTCCAGCCTGGGAACAGCCTGATTGCTGTGGGATGCAGAGCAGGTTTGTAAAACTACGAGTGGCATGGAGGCAGCATCAAAGCACGAAGGAAACAGCTGCTTCCTTCCTTTTTAAAAAGATCCAGGAGGCATCAGATGAAATTTGCAACTGTTTGATCAAAAAAAAGAAAAAAAAAAAGAAAATCCAAACCCAAAAGGAGATGGTTCCCACAGTGTGTGAACAAGCTGCACATCAACTCCTTGCAGAACTGTGGGAATGCCAATGCTTCAATGGTTAAAATAGAAACTGGAGACAGTAATGGAAGGAAAACAGAGGCATGGCTATGTATTGAGTCACTAAGGTCACTCTCCTCAGGCAGGTTTCTGGAGGCCAAGGGGGTAATTTGGGGAAGGACCATGACATGTTTGCTCCACACTAATTTCTTTCCCTAGACTGTGACCACTGGAAACAGGACACTGAGGGAGATGGATCCCCCATAAAGCTGCTCCTTTTACAGCATTTACATTTCAGGGTGGTCTTAGGTCAGATAAGACAATTTTTTTTTTCTTCAGATCTGGAATAAAATGTCCAAACCCAAAGGACACAGTTCTAAAAAGCCCACTTTGCCTCCCTGGACATCTGGTGGCCACGACATTAATCCTTCCCTTGGGAGTAAGCCAAAATGCAGCCCTGGAGATGAGGTGGGAAGAGATCAGCTCTTCCCCCTTCCCGTGATCCAAGCTCCACTAAGGAGATATGCCTGTGTAGTCAGGAGTACAAGTGAGCAAAGTTCCTTCCAGTATAATCCCTTCTCAGGGCTTTTGTTGTTTTGTTTTTTTTTTTCCCTCCCCCTCAGTTCATCAGGGTGCAAACAAAGGGGGCAACAGGGCTCCAAAGCTGACTCATGTCATTCAGATCAAGGATATACTTGGGGAAGAGGGAGGGAAACGCAGTGCAATTTCTTTTCAGCATCATCCCCCGGCTGCCTGGTTGTGGTGGCACCTTCCACAGCCCCCAAATCAACCCTCTCTGAAGGACTAAACTGACTCAAACATTGGAATAGAAATGAAAACAAAGGCGACCT